TAACGGTCAATCCCTTTACTCCGTTAATTTTTTATTTTTTATTATTTTCTTCCTAATTACGGGGCTCACAAACTCTAATCAACAAAAAGAAAAGTCATTTTCTTGTTTCGTTTCTGAAAAAAAATTGAGGAGGCCGAGAAAGGAAGCTCCAGATGTAGGCAAAATAGAAGTGATATCTCGACTCAATGCTCAATTGAGGCAACAATTTCAAATTGACTTCATCAATTATAAAGGGGATGATACAGATACAATCCTAAGCTTCAGATTCCGTTTTCTTGATCAGAAAAAGGGGTAACCGGAGCACAGCTTCTTCAGTTTCAATGGGGTCTGATCTCATTATCGGGTCTTTCAGAGATGGCTTGGTGTCGTCGGGAGCAGGTCTAAAATGGGGTTTTCGTTTCTTCTCTTGTTTGAGCTCCGGCTTGTAAATTTCGCCGCCGCTGCCGTCATTGGCGTCCATTGAAATCCCGATTCCGGCAGCTGCCTTCTTCATATAGTTTCCCCTTCAAATATTTTCCATTTTCAATCACTCCAATCTTCAGGAAATATTACGGTACTGCCCTCACGGCTCAAATGCCGATGCCGCACAAGCTCCAGATGTAAAAGCCTCTCTTATCAGCTCCTGATGCAGGGGGGGGAAAACAGAAGATGAAAAAAAAATTGATTGATTCTTCTTCAGTATAATAAAACTATGATAAATTGTTAACCTCACAAAAAGATAATTATCAAACAAGTACTCATATCATGGATCAATCCAAAATGAAATAAGAACTACTGAAGCCAACAGTCACACATTGCAGCTTAAGAAACAAAACGGAAGAAGAGGAAAAGAAGTCAAGTGAAAACCACACAAATATCTTCGGAATGAGTCTCACTCGACAAACACTTCATAGAAATTTAAAATGGAGATGCAATTTTTGACGTGAATTAACCCAAGCACTAGGATAAGAGAACAAATGTGCATTGAAGCTCCAGAATGTGCAGAGAGCAGAAAATGGCGAAATTGGTCTAGGGCTAAATTAAATGAGGCTATTCCCATGACTTGAAACAAGCTTCCATGTGATCTCCACATTAGAACCCTTCATTATTTTCCCAATTTGAGACTCTTTCGACAAATCGAAACTAGCTCCTTTCATCCTCAGTTCCTGAATACATCTCGTGGCAGCCATGGATGAATCCAAAAATGGATCGGTATTGTTTCCTTTATAGGATCCCACGAATTCATAGCAGCATATATCTTTGGTATGACCCTGCCCAAGACTTTGACAAGATCCATGGAAATGGGTTTTCTTGGGAGCTCCGGATGGGCGGAAGTGGTGGCGGCAGTCGGTGGTTGTGGTGGTGCGGCCGGATGTTGAGAGATTTTCTTTTTATTTGAGTTTTTTTTAAGTCAAATGGATGTGGGGCTCACAGTCAGAAAAAATTAATAAAATATTTTGTTACAAACGGAGAGTTGACTTCTCCCGTCAATTTTGTAAAATTTCTGTTAAATGGACAAAAATTGATGAGAAAAATAATCTAAGAGACTATTTTTACCAATTAAAAATAAATGGTGACTCGATCTTGCTACGCTCAAAAGTTGGGGGACTAAAAGTACATTTTGTCCATAAAACAAAGATATAGACAAGTGTATAAATTGCAACAACCAAAATATTCCAAAAATTAAATAGTTGTCTAGACACATGAAGACACTATAACATGCGTAAGTCTTTCAGATTAGTTTCTAGAGAATCGGAATCATGTCCCTTATTGAATCCTTTAGGGATTTCATATAAATGCCATTTTCAAATGACAAATATAAGTGATCACTATATTCACTAGACGCATTTTATTTCTTCATTAGTTGCCATACTTAGCAAATAATGGAAGAATGAATATTTTCATCCATCATAAGAGAATTTATCTCTAAATTATTAACATCCGGACTTTGGAAAATTTTTTACAATAAGTAAGTTGCTCATTAATCGTTTGCACAATCACCCAACAACATTTAGCCAGTGTATTACTTTTCAAAACTCTTATTATTTCAAGCAATTCAAAGTGTATATACAACACACATCATGAAGTGTGTATTGCGTCTTTTCATGTATTATGGTCTATAAATTTAATGTCTGCAACCACAACAGACTTTCTTCATGATCCTCCTTGTCATTCATTTTACTAACTGCTGCAGCATAAGCAAATTTCATGTCAACATTTTGTTGCTAATCGATTTCATCTTTCTTTAATAATGAGATCTCAACAATCATTAAAGTTCGCAAGTGCTTTTATACTTCTTTTGGAAGTTGATTCATCATAGTGGAAAACTATTCAAATTTAAAGATTCTTATAAATTCTAATCACTCATATTTTTTATCTATAGATTGAAACTTTGTCATTTACGAAGATTTTTATCATTGAAATCGATAGTTCTACTACTCATCAAATGGACATTTAACTAAAGAATAGTGGTAGATAGTCCTTCAGGGACACATTATCATATTCTAAGTTTTAACAGCTTTTTATATAAGATATATTTAAACATTCAGTCAGGTAAACGTCTGGTCTTAAACATTATCTCTTAACTTCAGGTTCATATCATAGAGGATCTGATGAGATAATGATGGTGTCCATTTTATTTATGAAATCGGCTGTTTTTACTTCTCCCTTTGATGCTGGGATAACTTACTAGCTAAAATGATGATTAACCAATCGAGCAGTTAATAAATCTCACTTTCGAAGTAACTAACTCGGCAAACTAATACGATAATCTATCAAGTAGTAAAATCCATCACCAATAATATAGAAAACTGGAGTTTCAAAATCCAGCATTTATTTTTATCCTCTTCTTGAGGATCCATTTTTTGTGTGCATTGCGGTAGAGCAATATACATAAATTGCATATCTAATATTTAAAGATGGTATGGTTTCTGACTGGAAACCACTACCGGGGATAATATCTGCAATGACCTGTTTGGTTTTATGCATATAATTGATGCCTTTGGTGTTTCAACACTTCCTCAATTATACATGAGGTAATTACTTTAATTAAACACATACAATAAACGATTCTACTAGATCGCTTCATTCTTGCTCGTATAGGCACTCAATGTTCAACTTCTATTATTCTGGTATTGAGTCATACACTCATCACAACTATCAATTCAAATTCTGATAAGAGCAGATAATGAGTATCCGCATATTATCAAATTAATTCCATAATTAAATTTCTTCAAACTTCAAGTTGCAAGTTAACAAGAACAATACATGTGGTTATCCCATCGACACATCGATTGATACTCTAATTTGTTAGAAGAAACTCTTGGTTCTCCAAATTTAAAGCCCATAAACTTTTTTGTTTCTTCTTGAAACCTGAATGGCTTAAATAGTTATGCCAAATTTTAGAAATTTTCTTCTGGAAAAAATAATAAATTAATTATTCAACTATACCATATCAATTTTACTTCCCATGAGCGTTTACTCTGATAGAGATTATCTACTCCGCACAAGTATTTGTTATTTAGTCATTTTCATTCTACCACAAGTGTTCTTGCTCTCTGGAGCACACATAATTTTATTGAGATCATCGTACATTACATGAGTATTTTCTTTCTATCTTAGTGTTCTTACTCTTTTAAAAACAAAGTGTATCGCTGCTCTACTGGAGACGACGATGAATTTTTTTCAAATTCAAAATAACATGTTGGTAGAGCAATTTATGTACTTCTTTGATATCTTGGAGAACATTCTTTCACCCTTTTATAAGCAAAGTTTTACAGTTGTTCCTCCAGAGATAATAATGAATTCACTTTATTTGCTCTTCAGGAGTATATATTTATTTTCACTCTCCAGAGTAATTATACTCTACAGAAGATATCATCAAGATAATTGTGGGTATATAGAACATGTGAATCCTATAGTTATACAGAACATGTGAACCCAATAGTTTTCTATGCCCCAACGATAACATTTGCAATATACTTCTTTTCAACTTCAGATCGATAGTAGTGCTTTCACTATTTTTTCAACTTCAGGTGGTTAATCGTGTATTTGTTAGAATCACCACTATCATTATTACAGAATCGACACATTTATTTCAAGAAATGGACCATGTCAAAATTTTAACATGTCTACAATTTGGCTCGAAATAATTCACTACCCACTCACTTCAGGAAATGGAAAGAAATTAATCCATAAGATTTCATCAAATATTTTGCTATAATACTACTACTGGAGCAATTTAATATGGTAATTATATTATCGTAATATTACTACTTCAGGAGTAACTTTGTTTTTGTTATCTTTAATCTTTTACTTCGGATAAAAAAATATACGATCATAATATACATATAAAATTGTTCAAAATTTACAACAATCTTTAAACTAATTAAATTGCAAAAATATTCACCACCTTTTTATTGCGTTGGCTAATTGGTAAATAAAAAACTCAATGAAGATACATAGTCAGAATGATGAAACAGAGCCATGATTTATGCATCTGCAGAATTTTTTTTTCAACGGGGAAATAAATATGAAAACACTTATAAGAATTTCAAACAACTCAATATACATATATATGTATATATATATATTTAATCACATAAGTTTTCACCGATCAACTAAACAAGATCAGATGTATCATAATAACATTATATTAAAAAATAAATAAAAGTAAAGAGCGAATAAATTTTTAAAACACATATTCTACTGCTCACCTTTTCTTTATCAAAATGATTATGGCATCAAACTATTATTGAATCACATGAATGTACTAGTAATTCATCTTTGCACCAAGATCCTGCCTCCCGCCGAATCAAAACTTATAGATTAATCTTGTAAATGCCCCTGACACTTATAGATTAATCAAATACTTTTTTTTCTGAGAAAAATGCTCCAAAAAAAAAAAAAATAGCAATCATGCATGGATGGTTTTCAAACAAATTAATAATGAGGGTGATTAATTCACTTATTACTTTAACTAAATAAATATTCTCTCTATACATGGAATATCTAATATAATTCTTCTATCTTATGGATATTCACATTATTAATATATTTATTTATAACAACTCCACAATATTTTATTTTTATTTTATTTTTAGCTTCCTAAAAGGTAATATTTCTTTTCTTCAGTTTCACAAAAAAAAAAAAAGAAAGCGGGACACAGCCCACGCCCTGGAATGACCATGGTCGGGTTTAGTTTGGAATAGCATGAGATTAACGAAGAAGATCAGGAAACCATGAGGAGCAACAGCACCGGCAGCAGCAGCAGCTTCAAGGAAGAAGATCTAAAGAAACAGACATCATCTCCCTCTTCAGCTTCTTCTGCTGTTGATTCAAGATTCAATCAAACTCTCCGAAGTGTTCATGGGTATGTATCAAAATAAAATCATACACAGATCCACATCTGGTTTCCTAAATGCTTTTCTTTCAGAAACCCGGAAATATTACAGTGATCAGGATTAGCAGAGATGGCGAATGGTGAATGTAATTGTCTGGATCATTTCTGGGGCGCCCCAATTGGATTTTTTAGCTGAGAATATGTAATTGGGTCGTTACTGATTTGTGCTGAGTCGTATGTGGCCTAAAGGTGGAAGATTGATTATGTTTAATACTGTTTTTCATCATCATGTTTTAGTCCCCATCAGGGAAATTACATGATACCCACCAAATGGGTTATCTTTTAAGTTGGAGTAAATGGTCTGTGATCAGTTGGGAAAGTGAGATGCTTAATTAGCGATCTGTAGTTTAATTTTGACTCCTTTTCTTTTAATGGCCCATCGGGAAGCCGGGAATGTAATCTATTTGTTTGAATCAGAACAGTTGCATCCTTTGAGATATTTTAGTAAATTATTTAGTTAACAATAATTGTGAGCTAATCATCATTATGAAGATTCAAATAATCAGAAATCTATCTCAAGTATACCATCCCTATGAAGTTTGTAACTGTGGCTTAAACCTTCCAAGAAGAATCTGATTTGCTTGTCCTATTTCCTCTGATCTGGAAATGACGGCTAGAACTTTACTCTGATTTGGTATAAGAAAGTTACAATCTGAAGTGGATTGATAGCTTGGTCTTCTTCTTTCAGCTACGCACAAAATGGCAATGACAATTGGTAATACATTTTGCTGCATAATGTTCGCATATTATTTCCAGAAAGTCGGGATTAGCTTTAAATCTTTGGCTTGAAAATTCTTGAAATACTTGATCTTTCGATGGACATTCAGCAACTGTTTCAACGTCCTGCTTTAAAGAGTTCGAAATTTGGAGATGTATTATGCTCCTTGCTACTAAGCTGTTGCCTGTTAAGTATTTTCTTTCCTGTGTGTTGGTTCTTGTTTTTCTTTACATTTGACAGTACTTGTCTTAAAAGGTGACATTTTTTTGTTTATAAATTGTCTGATGTTAGAAAATTTGTGGGTTATTGCCCTTCATTTTGTGTAAAACTGTCTTCATGGTTACTTCTGACTCTTGTAAGCATTCAGCAATGTTCATTTTTAAAATAATCATTGCTGAATGCCTTTGTTAGAATTCCATAATATGTGCATTGAACTTGTGCTTCTAAGTTATCTCTACTGTTGGATTCTGATTATAGCACATGCTTTATCTGATAATTCCGAGTTTCAATTGTTACAGTGTTATCCGCTTGTTGTTGAATCTAGCTTGAGTAAGATGGTGTTGATGAAACTGGTTGGAGTTTTATGATTTTATCCTACTCAATGCTTGAGCAATAAAAATTATACTCGCTAAACGAATGTGAATTCTTTCTTTCAAGTTGCAGTTTACATTCATATGATTTTGAGAAATTTGTCTCTTTGGCTTGAATAATTTTGGATAGAATGATTTCCTAGTAACTATCCACGCTGCACTGGTTAATGGATTGACAATTTACTGATCTGCAATATATTAATTTTAGGAAGGGAGCTTGTCTTAGTGTTTTTCTCCTCTATTCTTTAAACTGTAGCTAATAGTTTGAGTATCCTGCCTAGGAAGACTTCGGTGGCCTCTGGAACACTAAAATACGAGTTCTTTACAATGATGTGCAGTTAAAATTTTGGTGGTTGTTGTTGTTGATGCCTTTTCTTCTTCACATATTCTCTTGCTTCATAATTATTACAGATGCTGATGAAACGCCTAGTAAACTTTAAGTTGTGAAATGTGCTTGCCGCTGGTTTTCCCGGTTACAGCTTTTCTTTGCCCGACCCTGGAAATACTTTGTGCTCACTGCTTGTGGCTTCCATCTATTTACTCATCTTCGTGACTTTATCAGCCCCTAGTGATTTTGATCATAGGTTTCCGCATGTTATTTACGTTTCATTATTTTCTTCTTAGAAAGTCCCAAGGTGTTGGTGTCAGTTCTAATTTTTATTTCCTTACATTTTATTGGTTTAAGTTTGTTTGTTTAGTTCCATAAATTCTTGCTGAATGAAATTTTGAATACTTTTGGTTCTGTATCCTTCCTTGATGATAATTTTGGAGAAATTTCACATTAGTCTTCATAATTTCACTCAGGTTGCTCAAAGGCCGTAGTTTTCCTGGTAAGATACTCATAACAAGGAGGACAGATCCACCAGATGATGCTATCTTACAGTCTCCAAATAGTAATAGGAGTTTTTCTGATTATGATTCGGAATCTAGTGAACGAATTGAAGGATCCATGCAGGTATTAGGATATTTCTCTCATCTTCTAGTCTCTGTTAAATGATAATGCTAATCAGATTCATATGTTCTGATGAAGATGATTTTCTGCCTCAAATTTTAGGATGAGCACCAAACTAGAAGTATATCAAGTATTAATTCATCATTTAGCAAGATGAAAACATCTACATCACTTCCAGAAAACTTGTCTAAAGAGGTTCAGAAAGCCCCAGTTGGTGCCAGAGCCACAGATTCTGCAAGGCTGATGAAATTTACAAAAGAGTTATCTGGGACGACTGTCATTTTGGGTAATTATACACTCCTTCCTTAGAATTCTTCGATCAACCTATCTGATGAGGTTTATCATCGTACAGTTTTGCTGATAGACACATGGAAGAAGTGTAAAGTAGCACAAACAATTTGCTCAATACCACAGGCGTAGTAATAATGTTAAAAGGGCTTCTCTCTCTCTCTCTCTGTGTGTGTGTGTGTGTGTGTGTGTGTGTCTGTCTTTGTAGGTAAATGACCTGCTTGGTGCATTGTGGTGTACTAGACTACTATTAGTAATGTAAAGCGTAAAATTTAGGAAGCAGATTAAAATTTGATGTTGTATGGTCTTAATTCTCGAACAAAATCAGTGGAAGAATGTATCATGTGGAGAGGACCGGAAAGAATGCCATTGAGACATTCCAGACATAATGAACTGTAGGTCATTTCCCCGTTTCTAATAAAATCACGGTGATGTAAATGTAAATCCATCAGATTGGATGATTGAATTGTGTTAACTAGTTTGTAATGGCTATCTATCAACAATATCCCGTAACATCTACAGCTTCAAAATAAAATAGTTGAGGATCAAGACATGTTTTTGCTTATCATTCTGGGCCTGGTTTTAAGTGAAATAGTTACAATAATTTTATTATGCGTTGTTAGGAATATTGTGATTTTGGGCCCGGTTTAACCTTCTCTTCTTTAGTTGAAGCATTCTTGAATGAAATTGATGTTGTGGCATTTCATGTTGCAGATAACCTCCGTGAATTAGCCTGGAGTGGGATTCCACCATATCTACGACCCACTGTATGGAGACTTCTTTTGGTATGTTTATTATGATCTTGGACTACTTACTCAGTTATTATTTTTATTGTTGTATTTATTGAACTCGAAAAGGACTGCTGCATGAATATTTGAAAAGTCTTTGCATCATTTGCCTTATCTCATATAGGCTATTCATAATAGTTGAACAAACTAGGAACTGGAACTCTTTTGAATACAGGCTATTCATAATAGTTGAACAAACTAGGATGTGGAACTCTTTTGGAAAAAGGATGTCATAGTAAAAAATGTTGAAAAATAAAAATTTGTCTTAGAACTTTTGCAGATGTTTTACATTTAATATCATGCAGATGTTTTACATAATAGTTTTTTTTATTCAAGTTAATGATTCTAAAGTTTCTGCCATCTAATAGTCTACATGCCCCAACATACACTTGTATCTCCTTTGTGATAACTAGAGGAGGCTTCTAATTTCCAATCATAATTGTTTCTCCTCAACTATGAGCTTATGCAGCTGCATGTATCCTCTACTTCACATGATAGGAATGTGAGGAGGATGATAACATTGAGCAGAAACAGTTTTGGACATAAGTACTGACATTAACTTCAAAATTTTGTAGTGCAATGTGAGGCTTAAATCAGTTTAGCTCTTCTGCTGTTAGGAAGTTTATCTACATGTTCCTATCTGTTGCATCTCTAGGTTCAACATAATTGAGATTTATCTTCCTGAAACGTTTCTTTTGCTTTTTCTTTTTCCCTTTGTTTTCTTTTTTGAAATTTAAAGACTAACTGACAACAGGGATATGCACCCCCTAATTCAGATAGAAGGGAGGGAGTTTTAAGAAGAAAGCGCCTGGAGTATCTTGATTGTGTTGCTCAGTATTATGACATTCCAGACACTGAGCGGACAGATGAAGAGATTACCATGCTTCGCCAGGTATTGAGGAGGCTATCTGACTTTTTTGTGTTTTTGGCTTACTTCTACTTTCTTTTTGTAATCAATGCTTGAAACATATATTCTTTTCTTTTGTCTTTCAGATTGCTGTTGACTGTCCGAGAACTGTGCCTGATGTCACGTTCTTCCAACAAGCAGAAGTTCAAAAATCTTTGGAGCGCATTCTTTACATATGGTTGGTTTGCTATTCATTCTGGCTTTGTTTATTTTCTCCCTGAAATTCTATTTGGTTGTTCTGTTCACATTTGAAGTAAGTCTTATAATGTAAAGAAATGTCAGCACTTGATGATCTAGATTGAAAATGAAGTTTGATTTATGTCACCGTAACTCTTTGATAAGGGAAACAAACTGTATTCTTTATTTATTTATTTTTTTTGCTTTCCAAATTCATTATGTAAATACTGATGCAGAGTTTAGGTCTCATGGTGCTTTTATAATAAGATACCATCCATGTTCGTATTCATCTTTCTCCAACAGGAATGTATCTCCTGTTGTTTTCATTTTGTTGGCATTGCAAGATGTCCGAAATGAAAACTTAAAGAAATATGCTGTAATTCATCTTTAGTTGAATGAGACCATAAATTTTACTATATAAGTGAAAACGCACATTAAAGTAGAGAGTTTAGACTCAGAACATTCTTTTAAGTGATTTGGACTATGGAGGAAGACCATACTTTGGACGGTCCTTCATGCTTTGGTATGAAAGCGTAAGAACTCGGCGGGATTCCCCTCTTTCTTTGTCTGATTTGAGGGGGACAGACCCGTTGAGTTCCTAAGAATCATACTTTTTTTATTTGCCCACCACCTCTTATCTTATTCTTATATTATCTCATAATAACTCGAAAAAAATTTCTGATACATTGTAAAAATTCAAAAACAAGACTAGGAATCATTGAAGAACAGGATTAAGAATCATTACTCTTTCGGCACAAGAAAGAGTTTCGAAAATTCCCTTTCTTGTGTCGAAGACTACTCGGAAGACGAATACTCTCTCCTAGCATTATACGTTTCCCGCATTTATCACGAATGGCCTCAGGTGGAGATGATGGATGAAAGGAAAATATTTAGGAGATCAATAAATTTTTGAAGGAAAATGGTTCTGGTTTAAATACAGAGGAGTCAATCTCTTAGTGTTGAAGAAATTTGTAGAAACAAACATTTGTCAACAAAACGACTGAGTTTTTCGTTAACGTTGAGAATTTTTGTTCTTAGATGACTTTGGGCCTTTTATTTTTGAGATTGCAATAGTCAACTTGTTGAAATGGATTTAAAACAATTGCCGAGTTAGACTTTGGTTCTTTCTATATATGAAACAATCGTGGTGCATAAAAGGGTGACATCTGGAATATTTCTTACAGCAACAGGTTTCAAACTTTCAGTTAATGTCTACTTTGATCTCTGAATAGTTGAAGAGAGTGAATTCTGCATGACTAGGTTGTTGAATTTTGTGCTTTGTGGAAGTGCTTTATCCTCAACTTCATATTACATGTCATTTGATCCTGTTGCTTCTATTTCATGTTAGGGCTTTCATCGCAATCAAAATCTGATTAACTGACAATAAGATTGTTAGCTAATGTTTCAAATGGTCTGCATCCTACGCTGTCATGTGTCGCACGATCTGAACAGTTTCTTTCATATATGCTATAAAAAGCTTTCCATTTTTTAACAATTTATAGGAATGAGTTATGGTATTCCAATGAGCATAATCAAAATTGATATTCTGTTTCAATGAAGTTTATCATTGTTTCCTTCTCAGGGCTATCCGGCATCCTGCGAGTGGTTATGTTCAGGGAATTAATGATCTGGCTACACCCTTCTTGGTTGTGTTCTTGTCAGAACATCTAGAAGGCAATATTGAAAGCTGGTCCCTGGCAGATCTGGCTCCAGAAAAAATATCAGATGTAGAGGCTGACTGTTATTGGTGTCTATCAAAGTTACTTGATGGCATGCAAGACCATTACACATTTGCTCAACCAGGAATCCAAAGACTAGTGTTTAAGCTGAAGGAATTGGTTACGCGGATAGATGGTATGCTTTCAGAAGGCTGCACTTTTTCTTTGTATTTAATTAATAATTAATTTGTTATTAAGTTTTTATTATGATAATCAGTTCGCAAGAGTTCTATTGCATGTAGGATAGTGATGTTATCAGCCCAGTCATCAGTCTGAATAAAAATTTAAAATTCGTTGCTGGCAGCTTGCCATCCTCTGTTTGCTGCTTACTTGATCTATGTACCAAAAAAATTTAGCACTCATGGAAGTAGTATTTGTGGGAATTATGGCTAACAAAGTATATAGCCCGTGCATTTGGTCACAGCTTTGTAATGTGTAAGGACTATATTTTTACTGACAACATGATTTGTTCACTATAGTTTCTTGAAATGTGGGATTTGCATGTCGTCATTTTAAGCCTTTTGATCTTTTTTGAAGTTTTCAAATATCATTTCTTTCATGTACCTGATAGACCTAGGTAATTCAGCCTTTTGTAACATCTAGTTTATTAAAAAATATATTAGTGAGTGTATCTAACGTATGGCCATTATAAGACTTCTTGTGTTGGCAATTCATATTTTTCCCCTGCTAACCACTGCACAAACTAGGTCTAAAAAGCCATTTGGGGTCTTGATCGGGATCTAAGTGATGCCTATAGCGGATATATCAACATTGATTGCTCGCCGGCACATGATGCTTAATTTGCATCAGTCTGGGACTATAAGACCTATCATCTTGCTTTATAAACCTTGTATTGTTGTTTTGATCGAAGTTTGGGGAAGCGTAAACATATTCTCGATACATGTGGAAATTGAAGACATATTCTTGATACATATGGAAATTGTAGGCATATTCTTGCTATCCGAATTTCTTGCTGATTTCTTCAGGACTATAGTGGTGTGCTGTCTCTCATAAACTTTTTTTGATTTATCCAGAACCAGTATCAAAACACATGGTGGATCAAGGGCTTGAGTTTCTTCAATTTGCTTTCCGTTGGGTTAATTGCCTATTAATACGCGAGGTTGGTGTTTCTGTTTGTCCTATATTTGATCTTTTCTTGTTTATGCTTTACATTTGTCAATGAGTTATCTAGCTCTCTCCTTGAAAATTTGGGGCGGGTGTAAACTGTAAAGCTTTGTAATGTGGATGTACAGTTACTACAGTTACTACAGTACTAGGATCGAAATCTAATGGGATGTATTTCCGCAGATTCCTTTCAATCTGGTTACACGCTTATGGGACACATATCTTGCAGAAGGAGATGCATTGCCTGATTTCCTTGTGTACATATTCGCCAGTTTTCTCTTAACAGTAAGATATACTCTTCCTCACATGCTATAAACAGCAGTGAGAAAATTAGAGATGCACACTCTACTGTTCAAATAATTTATATCTTTCTCAAGTGGCACTAGATACTTTGAGTTAATGACATTAGCTTTGACCAGGTTCTTGTAGTTGGGCAATTAAAGTACTTCGTGGTGAAAAATAAGATTAGACAAGTAATATAAACCACATAATATCACTTATGTGGGGCCATGCGAACCATTGATGGTTTTGCCACCATTAGAAGTAGATGTTCCATCAAATCTTGTCTCTGAACCAAATTGTTGATCTGCAATCATTCTATTTGAGAATAAAGTGGCTGTTCGTGCATATTTAGATATTTTCTCCGGCTCCACTTCCAGAGGTGGAAAGTGATGAGCATGCAATGCCTGTTGCATGTGTATCTTTTCACTCTTGATAATCAGTAACTGTAGTGTTATCGTTTCCTTTAAACTAATCTCCTCGGGGGAGGAGGAGTCCTTTCTGTCCTTGTATAAGCTTTAGTACACTGCATTTACAAGGATCTGTTTCTTTCATCTAGAAACAGAAATGTTTCTGTTACTAATAAGAACCAAAAACTTTTCTTTTCGTCGGTTTTGTTAGATGTATTCTTCACAGTTATTGCTGTTTTGTTATGCAGTGGTCCGACAGGATCCAGAAGCTTGAGTTCCAAGACATGGTCATGTTTCTGCAACACCTTCCAACCCAAAACTGGACACACTTGGAGCTGGAGATGGTTCTTTCTCAAGCTTACATGTGGCACACTATGTTTAAAAGTTCTCCCAGCCACTTGGCTGGCTGAAGAGTTTTCTGACAACTCAAGATTTTATTTTCGGCCATCATCATTTGATTGTTTTTGTCTCTATGTTGTTTTTCCCAATACGCTTATCTAATTATAAATTTTTTTAATCAATTAGATGAATTTATGTAAACTGCCGTATTTTCCTTTTCCTGTAATATCTGTATCATTGATGCAATGTGTACACTTCCCATTGAAGTATATAGGATATAATCGCAGTGGTGAAAAGGGCTTTGTTTCTGATTGAAGAAAATTCTCTTGTGAACTGATCTTTGGGTGAGATTCTGAATGTGATTTGATACTACATATGGAGATTAATCTTGAATGATTGAATCAACAAATTACAATGTGTTTGGATCTGCATTTGCTCTTAGCAGAGCCCCAATTACTTTGTTCTGGCGACAAAATTCTTGGGAAATTCTATCTCCGGAACAGGCATGAATCACATAAGCCATTAAAAACGCGATTTGTTGCATTATTTGCAACTAGCAAAAGGTTCAAAGAGGAGGGATGAAGGGGATTTGCTCCCAAAGAGCTGCACCTTCTGCCATCATCTGTCGACTCGGCTTTGAGACTGAGAGTTTGAAGATCGTTGAACCATGGTTCCCCCTCATATGTCTCATAGCGCAAACGTGGATCAAAGATTAATTCCTCGAGGGAGACAGCATTTTCTAGGAGATACCACTTCACAAGATCCAATTCAAATGAATAGCCCCGATATCCACATATCTCAACCAGATTTTGGCACGATAATTGACGACGTTTTCTGACTTCATACTGGTTTCAAAAACTCGGTAATTCATCTTTATTACAAACTTTTCAAGCTTTGGTGATGCCCCAAATGGTGAACCAAGTCCGTGGTAAGCGTGACAAGCAGCATTTTCAGGGGACAAATGCAAAGTTCCAAGTGTTTCAATGCAAGAGATGGACTTGGAGGATACATCATGTTTCCGGTGCCAAACGTTTACTTTGATAAGTTGACCTTCCGGTCAAGAATGTAAATGATTCTTACACAAAAAAAATTGGGAATGTTTGGATTATCAACCAAACTTTGAGGGTATATTTGATATTAAATCCAAAAAACACTTGGGATTGAGCCTGATTATTGATGTCACGCTCACCGGTTGAACCGTCCGGTTCGTTTTGGTTAAAAATAGAATATTAAAAACATTTTTTCGATCACTCCCAGGCAAGATCCCCCTTCGCTTGTATGCTTCAAACTTCAAATGTTCATTCTTTCTTTTCCCTTTTGAAATCGATCATGTTCCAAAATCGAGCAACTCAGTTCTAGTCATTAACGAATCCAATAATGGGATCGGGATGTTGTTCTTATGATTCAACAACCAAAACCACTCTTCCCCGTATCGGATATCTTCGAATCGGTCAAAGTTTTTTCCGATTACAGCCTAAATTCAATTGGGTTCCTCGTAATCCCCGAAATGGTGGCCTGCAATCATGTACTGATCTTAAGGTTGTTTTTGGCTCAGTTGGTAGACAAAAGGGTTTTTGTTTTTTCAAAAAAGGGAGGACCTTTCTTCGGGTGTTTGATGCTATGGATGATGATTCAGTAGGTGTTTCTTCATTCCATGACCACTGGGAAGATACTGAAAGGAATTCTGAATATGGGTTCTCATCGAGTGAAGGTGAAGATAGTGATAGCGATATAGGTTTACAGCCAATTACTGATATTGAGTTGCCAATCAAAAAAGAACAGCATTCGAATTTCTATACAGGTGATGATGACTCTGTGTCAATGGCAGCTAACAGGTTTCGGTTTGCAATGCTTGGAAACAGAGCCGCACAGCAGAAGAAGAAGAAAAGGAAGTCTTTTTTCGGAATGATGAACAACGTTGGACTCGTTACGTTTCTCACATTGTTGTTTTCACTTGTGGATTGGTGCGGATGGAAGATTGTTAGATTGCCATTGCCACCTTTCCACTTGTTGCGCCCTTTCGTGATTTCGACGGCCACAGCAGGTTTTCTAGGCTATGTTTGTGTTCCGCTTCTTCGGGTTTTGAAGATTCAATCGATTAGGAAGGAAGGGTTAGTTGGAAAACACTCTAGAACCCCTACAATGGCAGGGTTGTATTTCATTCCAACTGGTGTAGTTGTTGCGGAATTTCTAGTTGGATTTTCATCTGCTGAGGTTTTTGGAGCATCAGCTGTGACTCTGTCATTTGCTGTTATAGGCCTCATTGATGACTTGAGGAGTCTGAAAAATGATAATACTCGTTGGGTATCATCTTCTTGGATGGAAATTTTGTTAGAGGTAGTTGTCACGGCTTGGTTCTTGTTTTGGTATTACTCAACAGCGAATATATCATCACCCTACTGCATGAAATTGCTTGCTCCATTACCGGCACCGGTTGGGATTCTTTGCCTTGGAACATTTTATCCGATTCTGGCTTCATTTTGCTTCTTTTCTATGGCGAGTGGAGTTAGGGTAACAGACGGGCTTGATGGATTGGCTGGAGGTATCGCGGCATTGGCATTTACTGGGATGTCGATAGCTGTTCTTCCAATATGTTCTGATCTAGCTGTCTTTGGTGCATCTATGGCTGGAGCCTGTGTAGGTTTCTTGTTTCATAATCGATACAAAGCATCTGTATTGATGGGTGACACTGGAGCATTGGCCTTAGGTGGAGCACTTGCTGCCATGGCTGCTTGTACAGGAATGTTTTTTCCCTTGTTTATTACGTCTGGAATTTTTGTTCTTGAGACACTATCAGTTATAGTACAGGGTACTTTCTTCAAGACTAGGAAACATCTGGTAAGAACTAACCGTCGGCCCTTTCATCAGCACCTGGAATTACGTGGAGTAAGAGCACCGGCCATTGTTGCGGGTGCATACCTTATTTCATCAGTTTTGGTTTTGGTTGCAGGTTATGTAGGTCTCATTTCGGCTTGATTTAGTTAGGTTTCTTTTCTGGGAATGCGTTGATGTTGCTGCAGTTCTTGCTGCACTACCACATCCCCTCTGTTAAAGCACAAAAAGATAACACATAAACATCTTGATTTTCAATTATCAACTGTAACACTACCGTTTATTTCTTTTCATAATACAGTATATGGAATGTGTTTGCGACTACTTCTTACACCAGTTAGTTTTCAATGATTTAGTCACCACCACAAAAGAAAATGACAGTCAAAATCCTATTCTTGGAATCATCCACTAGTCCCATCGTTCACCAGGGTTCAAAATCTGCTGCTTTTATCAAGATGATAACACTGAGCTCGAACAATGAGGAAGTCATGGGCGGTAGAATGGAGAAGATGTGTGACCTCTGTACTGTCTTCACACAAGGCTGTTCGACTTGTGCTTCCGCTGAAACAAAGACTCCATGTAAGACAAAACTGATACAAACAGTTAACAGAAAATGATCAAGAGTACTATTAACGTCAATCCAAAAAGATTATCAGACAAAAGAAAATCAGAGAGCTGCACTCTTGGGAGAGGATAGTGGAAAAGTTCCGAATAATGAGACCCTAAAAGCCAAGCAGCTAGTAAGCCTACCTGAAAACCAAATATCCTTTGTCGAATTGTCGGAATTGGAAAGGTATTCAATCAATATATTTGACTTCTACTTTTATTATAGATCCACATGCAAAGCGATAGATAAAAGCATTTGCCACAGGATTAATAGCTGCATGTAAAGGGTTTTCCTTTTCAGAGAATTATCTGATACGGAACTTTCACTTGGCAGTAAGCAGGTAGACGAAAATTGAAGAAGTTTGCAACCACGAAGGTTATTCAATTGAAGAATCTGAGGCGCAAGTATTTCATAAAATTTTCATCTGTTCCAAGTCCTAAATGCTATAACAGTTGGATTATGTAACCTCATTGCATAGATGCAGCACTATTCCACTCCAAAAAATATCATCTGAATAATTAAATTAGGTAGCAACTGAAGAAAGTAATGGACAAACCAAAAAGTATCGTGTTTCAAGACAACTCTTGGGAAAGAAAACAAATATTTTAGGACTTTTGATTGCGTGTAGGCACAATCATATCAGATCCAGCCTAAGACAAGAAAAAGAAGAAGATGATGTACGTGCTCCGAAAACAAGGGGCCATGGCAGTAAGGAGACACAAGGGGCCTACGGTTAACTAGTGTATGCAATAATAAAGGACAGATCATGGAAGAAATATTGCTCTGAAGAGAAACGAAAGCATTATTTAATTCAATGATTTCAAAAACAGCAGCATTCTGAGTCAGAAATGTTACTTACATGAGTCCTTTCAATTTCATGGAAAAATCTCTCAGGGAACTCGATGTAGCTAACACAATCTTTCTTAACTGTCGCTACAAGCTCTTTTTCTCCAGCCTTTTCAAGGTTTCTGAGCAGAATAATGAAAGTCAACTTATCGGGAGTACATCCTGAAGCCTTCATTGAATCATAAATCTCCATTGCCTTATTCACCATATTGACCCGAAAATATGCACCAATCATCTCTGTATAAGTTCTCGTGTCAGGTCTGAGGCCTTCTCTCTCAAGACCAAAGAAAAGATGTTCAGCCATTTCAACCATCCCGTTCTTTCCCAACATCATGATCATGTCACTGAAAAGGGAGAGATTCGGCTCATACCAATTTTCTTTCCTCGCGAAATCAAAAACCTGAGTGCTGATTTCTTTTAAGATAATGTACACATTTTCAAGGAGAGAAATTACTTATCAAATAAAATGTAATCCTTTCAGCCTTAAATATATTATAAAACTTAACTTAATCAGGCATGCTTTTCAACTAAAAATCTCAACTTCTTGTGGTGGAAAAAAACAAAAAAAGAAAAAGAAAAGAAACAAGATTACACTATTGAGCGCCTCCCAGCAACGAGGGATGAATTTCAATTTTCATGAAAGTTATTTATTAAGCAAATGCAGAACAAAATCATCTGGAGTAAGCCACAGGACACAATGTACCACAAAGACTACAAAAAACAAGCTGAAATAAACAGAACAACAAAATGGGCAAAATGCAAAATACGATGTCAAAAGAGCCTTTCTAAAGTCCCAGCTTCTCACTTGGACCCATATCTATGGACAACCATTTTGAAATTGACGAAAAAATTTCAAGAGATTGGGGAGGTAAAAACGCTTTAGAGGAACACCCTTATTCCACAGCCACTTTAGAACATTAGCAATGTGATAGTTATTTACAAATACTGGTAAGAATCCAATTAGATATCAAAATGTCCTTGTATTGAAGCTGAATAAAACAAATCATGAGGACTTGCAGAACCTAGCACTTATTTTCCCCCACTCCCACTCAGCCATAGAGAAAAACATATTAACCATCTTTTTAGTTATTTAGAGAATTTTCTAGAGCTTCTGGATCACTATTGTGGCTATCAAGTATCAACTACATGGACATTCTAAATGATGTTTGTTTCGGCACAAGCAAAGTTTTACTATTCTACATTTGGAACGGGGAAAAAGAATAACATGCGACATTATAAAAGTACCATCAGCCAGATGCATTGTAGTTGATTGAAAAAGTAAAACAGGAAGAGAAAAAGAATAAGAAAGAGAAAACAAAAATGAGCGTAAATGGCAACACCGAGTGAGACCCAAATTCTTTTAGCACAATCAAGTAGTTCTGTAACTTCCCTACATGACAGACTTCTCCTACCATCTAACAATTTATCGACAAAGCACAATACAATATAACTGCATCTGAAGATCAGGAACTACGCCACTTTAAGTAAAACATATACTGCATCAGAAATTAAGAACTATCTCCCTTTCTGTGCAAATATCTCTTAGTCATGCATGACAACAAAAGGCAAATCCAACTGCAACACAAAACATTTCCAGACCAAGGTAATTAATAATACTCCTTTTGATTAATGAAATAAATAACAAACACAGTACAGTAAAAAGTCACATCCTTAGTTGATTCTCTGATAGCATAACCAAAATGCAGTCTTGACATTACAATCTTAAATAAATTTTCACTGCAGCTTTCAGCAAAAGAAATATGACGGCAATAAGTTACACAGATCAGCAGTGGCTACCTCTACAGAATGAAAAATATTCATCTCATAAAACACAATAAAGAGCACTGAGCAAACATGGCAAAGCTCTGAAAGGAAGAGAAAACAAGTGACTGTTACTACCATTCAAACCAAGATAACTATGAAGTTCCAACTTTTAAGAGGCAAACTCTCTCTGTGAGAAGTCCATCCATGAATGGATCAGGAATTACTGAGTTTCACACCAACATGCCGTGCAAACAAACTTGATAAATGATGCTTTTTGTGCTAGGTGACAGGCAAAGTCAAGCAAAGACAAACATGACAAACTCATCAGCAACCAACAAGATGAAACAGATCCTACTACAGCTACATGGTTCTTCTGTCCGCGAGTTTACACTAGGACAGATCCTCCTACAGCTACATGGTTCTTCTGTCCGCGAGTTTACACTAGGCCATTAGAAATTCCACATAATAGAGAGGAAATGAACTACAACACTGATCAAATTGGATATAGATTTCGAAGCATCAAAAACGAAGAAACCAACAGAAATCAACCAAGACAAAATATCAAAACAAAATGTCAACACTGAGAAACCAGAACAATTTCAAAAAAGAACACTAACAAGGTCTACGGTATGGTTTACACAATCCAACTATATTTATTTGTTTTCTCTATAACAAGCCAAACACCCCAGAAAGGAACATACTTTAACAATTCACAAAATTGAAACCCAAATCGACCTAGTTCCAAATAATAACGATAGCCATGAAGAACAAAACTACCTGAAGCGCTAATTGAAGTTCATTCTGTCTCTGCAACTCTGATATAGTGTCCAACAAATCAGCCTTCAAGAGCCTGCTGAATTTAGTATTCAGAACCTCGGCTAACCTATCCGGAGAATTAGCCAACTTCAATGATTGGACTGCTCGAATGGCTTCTGGAGACAACACTCTGGATCTCCACATGGGTTTTCGAGGTCCAATCTTTCTCAACCCACAAGTTATTTTCAGTGCAGACGCCGCGGCTGATTCGGGAAGACAGGTTTTGATAATTTGGGGGGAAACCATGAGATTTGCTGTCAGTGAATCCATTGTCAGCACTGGAAGTGAACTGAGGAGGGCTGGGGAGAAAATTCTCCTACCTTTATTTCCTTTTCGAGGTGTATTACACGCGTGAAAAAATGCGTGACTGGAGAGTTTGTTTTTGGATGAAAGTTGTGTTTTTTCGTACTAAGATCAAAGAGTTTAGTATATCACACATTTACGTATTAAAATTCTAAATTGATTTTCGTAGTTCACAAATTACTTGAAAAAAATGGCGAATCTACTTAAAATTTTACATGCATCGTCAATTCTAACTTATTCTTTTTCTGTTAGCCAATATTACCCTAAACTATCCATCCGTTAGCCGATTTTGTCCAATTTGCTATTTTTCGTCTAAATTAACGGAATTTTATTTGTTTTAATTACAAAAAAACCCTAATAGTTTTAAAAATTTATAAAAAGAACTCTAAAAATTTATAAAAATTTTAAAATAGTCTATTTTCAGTTTTTATTTAAATTTTTCTTTTTTTTTTAATTTCTTTTTACTATTTTTCATAACCATAAAAATATACTATATGATCTTTTAAATAAATAATTTATTTTTAAACACTACAATACAAATTTATAGATATACATTTTGTAACTCATGATTGATTTACATAAACATATTAATTTTTTTAATAATATGGCTAGACAATAATGATATTATTCTTTTAATCCGTCTTTTTCAATTTAAAGATAAGATTTTTTTTACTAAAACTAATTTTTTTACAAAAATTAAAAATATTTATCATAGATTAAAAAATATATATTAGTACATTTTAATTTATTACAAACTAACTAAAGAGACTATAGATTGTATTATCCAATTAACTTGCCAGGGTGAAAGTTCTGAGCTTAATTTTAAAATTGGAATGCCTTAATTGCATTGTTTTGATCTTGTACTAGAGTCCACTTGTTTGAAACCAGGGGGGACTGTAATTCTGAGTGAAGACTAAGGCAGCCCTTCGCATCATGGCAGACTCTATAAGAGCTCATGGTGGTCTATAAAAGCCTAAAAATCTTGAGAAAAGGAGGCGTTGGCTGTTGAAACTGAGTTTAAAAGAAAAATATGCAATGAGAGAAAAAAGGTAGCATGTCCAATGAGGCAGTGAAACCCTGAGAGGTGAGGCTTGGCAAATAAAAGAGGAGTGTCTTCGGGCCTGGTGAGAATTGAAAAATAAATATTTAGAATACCAAAAGTGCTGAAAAAATGTGCTTGGTATAGGCTTGAGTGGGAAAGATCTTGAAGAAAAGCCAAATGGACAAGGAGGTAAAGGTATGAGGGAGAAAAAGATGCAGCCAATGTTGCTGCAGTTATGTGAGGAAGTCCTCAGAATCTAAAAATCTCAGAGAATACCGTAGTTGATGACATGCAGGAAATAGGTACTGATCACAATAATGTCCATGTTGTTCTGAAATTGGTAAATTCTTAGAATGGATTATAGGTAAAACTTGAACTTTGGCTATGGCATATGCACACACACACTGGAGAACTATGATGCTATCTTTCTGTGAGAAACAATAGTGTATAATCTGTCCAAATAGGGACTTGAATCTGAGACTAACACTGATACAATGTTGCACTTACTCTTGTTCATTTAGCCACATTCTTTTTCGATCACTGTCATTTAACTTATCTGTGAAAATGCTATTTTCATTCCTTCCTTCTGAGTCTGTGTGTTGAGTCCTTCTGTGTGTCTAGGTCAGTAAGAATGAGTTTGAATTTGTTCGCTTGAGCACAAGCAAATATTCAAGTTTGGGAGAATTTTATAACACTTAAATTAGACCCAGTGGGATTTTCTACTCATTTTTACTTAGAATTAAGTGTCAATTAAGTAGAATTAGTTTACTTTTGTGTCAGTTTTACGTTTCAGGGTGATTAGAGGGCCAATGTGAAAAATCAGCATAAATTGGGGCTAAATTACATAAAAGTGCATCAAAATGGACCAGATTGGAAGCTGTTGGAAATCAAGGGCCACAAGGAGCATTTGGAACTATTTAGGAGGAGAAAAACATGCTAAAGAAAGAAGATTGACTGTATATGAACTCAAGTGAAAGAACACTGCATTGTTCAATTGAGGAAGAAGAAATGGCAACCACTCTGCTGCCAAGTTACTGTTGCAGTTGCTATAGCTGCTATCAATCAAGAGGAGCCAAGAGCTGAAATCTTGGTGCCAAAGAAAGGAATTGCATTACGCTCACTGCAAGTTGCTGATACTGCAAGTGGAAGAAGAGAAAGAGGGAGAATATGAAGAAGAGAGTAGCTGCAATTCTGCTACTTGCGACCTGCTGCTGTTGCTGATTGAAGTAAAAGATTGGTTGCTGCAGGAGGTGAGAAATGGTGCTACAAATGATCCTAGGAGATAAGGAATAAAAGATCAGAAGATTGAGGCTGAATTGGGGGCTGAAAAGGAAGAAACATAATGATGGAAGGAAGCATGCTGCTTGCTACCTCTGCTAGAGCTGCTGCTGAGGATTAAAGAATGAAGAAATGGAGATTTGTGGCTGAAATTGGTGAAGAGGTGCCAGAGAAGGAGACTAAGGAGAGGAAGCAATGATGAGAGGAAGGTAGCTAGTGACGGCTGAAGAGAATGAGCAGTCAAAGAGAAGACTGGGCAAGTTGCTGAATAAACAAACTTTCAACTGCTGCGATTTGCCATTTCCCCTGTCTGCTGCAGATAAGAAAGCCAGAACCTCAACTAATCCAAACCTCTCCAAATCTCTATAAATAGTCAGCCAATAACAATTAGAAAAACATCAAGTTGGGAAGTTAGAATCAGAAATAAAAAACAGTGTAGTTAGTTAAGTTAGTTAGGATAGAAACAGAGTAATAGCTGTAGCTAGAGTGCAGACTGTGACTTGGGCAAGTGACAAAGTACACTTCCCCAAGTGAGTAGGCAGAATCTGCCCTGCTACTACTCTTCTATACTTTAACCTTTTTGTTTTTTTTTAATCATATTTAATCTTTTGTACTCTGTTGCTCTCATGTTTAGTTCAATAAACATGAGTATCTAAACTCAGTTAAGGGTCTAATCCCTACTATCTAGATGTGAAGGTTTTGATTCAGTTTCTTATATGAGGCATTGTTCCTAGTTTAAGTGTTTTAATTATCCTTGTAATTAGACTGGTCAACTAGCTAATTGTGCATGCATAATTATGGAATCTTGAGAGGGTGAACATAGTTTTAGAATAGCTTAAATTAGTCTATGACAAAGGAGACATCTTCGACTGCAACCCTTTGGTTTCAATCATCAATGAGAGAGAGTTGATTGGCGTAGGTGATCAATGAGGTTTAAGAACTTAATGGCTTGGAATAATGAATAATTATCACTGAGAGGTAGGTAATTTGGTTAATCTAGGGCTCTTTACTGGTAATGAAGAGGAAGGTAAAGAATATAAGTGCTTGATCAAAGAATAAATCATATGTAACAAGAACTGAAATGAATCAAAACTGGATCATATAGATAGGAAGGTGGATGACCCTACTGCTTTCTCACGCTGTCAAGTGTCAATTCTCACTCTCCCAAGTGTCAATCTGATTTCTTTTGCTTGCACATTAATCAGATTTTAAGTGGTTCACTATCGTCTCTGTGGATCGACCCTACTTACTGCTAGCTAATAGTTTTAAGTAGGTATTTATTTCTTTTGGAGGTGTCAACGACCGTCTACCAGGTGTCGATGTGGTAATAATCATGGATTAATGTATGAGTCGTGGTATTATAATAATAAATGATCATTGTATGGTCTTGTATGTTAAAAGTAAATGTATGGTCTTATGTGTTTGAATGTATAAAATTGATATTGTGATCATAGTTATGTTTTGATTTATGATATCTAAATTAATGTTCTCTATCTGATAATAACTGTTAAACTTCTTTTCTTGTTTGACATTTGACATGGAAATTAAACGAAAAAGCAATGTTGGAGATTTCTGTATTGCGGACAGTGGCATTACACATACTATCTTGTTCTCTACTTGATAATAACTATTTTTTTTCTTGTTTGAAGTTTGACATGGAAGTTAAACGAAAAAGCAATGTTGGAGATTTCTGTATTGTGGACAGGGGCACTATACATACTATCCTGAAAAACAGAGAATATATATTGTGTATACAATATCAGATACAACAAACTTGATTGAAGGGATTGGTAAAACCAATGTCACGTTGCCAAAGGAACAAAAATTATGATTAATGAAGTCTTGTTTTCACCAAATTCAACAAGAAGCTTGTTGAGTTTTGATGATATATATCAAAATGGATATGACACCCAATTGATGAGTGTTGGCAATACACAATTTTTAAATATCATTATTTATGAATTAGGAAAGATACAAATATTGGAGAGATTGCCACTTTTTAAGGGTCTCCATTATACATATATAAATGTGATTGAATCACATATGGCAATGAAAGAAATTTTTTTGAAGATTCTGTAATGAATTTGTGACATGAAAGATTAGGCCACACTGGATCTATAATGATGTGAAGAATGATTGAAAATACACATAGTCATCCATTAATGGGCCAAAAGATTCCTCGGAGTAATGGAATTCCATGTGAAGCTTGTTCTCTTAAGAAATTAATAATCAGACCATCATCATTAAAGATTCAAAACGAATCGCCTCTGTTTCTTGAGACGATTCAAGGTGATATATGTTGACCGATACATCTACCATGTGGACCATTCAGATATTTCATAATTTTATAGATGCATCTAGTAGATGGTCACATGTGTGTTTCCTATCAACCCGGAATGTTTCATTTGCAAAATTTCTTGCTCAAATTATAAAATTACGAGCTCAATTTTTTGATTACACAATCAAAAGGGTTAGACTCGACAATGCTGGTGAATTTACGTTTTAATCATTTAATGATTACTATATGTCTACTGAAATTACTGTTGAGCACCCGGTTGCTCATGCACATACGCAAAATGGTTTAGCAAAATCATTAATGTAGAGATTGTAGCTCATTGCTAGACCATTGATCATGAGAACAAAACTGCGAGTTTTCTATTTGGGGCCATGCAATATTACATGCAACTTTTTTAATTCGCGTAAGACCAAGTGCAGATCAAATACTCTCCCCTGCAATTGATTTTGGAGTATGTACCAAATAT